GGGTCCATCATCAGGAGACAGTGAGTTCTAGTCCTGCCTTAGGCATGAAAGCGCGCTGGGTGACTTTGGGGCAATCACTAGGAGACTGTGAGTTCTAGTTTCACCTTAGGCATGAAAGCCAGTTGGGTAACTTTGGGCCAATCACCAGGAGACAGTGAGTTCTAGTCCTGCCTTAGGCCTGAAAGACCACCAGGTGACTTTGGGCCAATCACTCTCTCTCATCCCAACTCAACTCACAGGGTTGTTGTTCTAGGAAAAAGGAGAAGAAAGAGGGGATATTATACATGTTTGCCTCCTTGAGTTACTTATAAAGTAATAAAGGCAGGATGAAAATCTTTTTTAAAAAAACCCTCCTGTTGCTGCTCAACAACAGAGCAAGATGGAGTTAACCAACCTAACATCTTAGGCATGAACAAATGGGATAGAATTGGAAACTTTCAGTCAGATAATTGCCCATTCAAGACATTAAAAACAAAGAAATTTTTTTTCTCTCCCTTTCATAATCAACAGGGTTAGAGCAAGAACAGTACTTGGTTACACAATGCCATGACAGCATCAAATAGACTTTGCAGATAATCCTTTAATATGACAATTATCCAAGTTTATGTTCCAGCCAAGAACGCAGGAGAAAAAGAAGTTGATGATAGCGGCTGCTTTTTTTGTATGATCAAGTTAAATTTAATATTAACAGAAGAACACAAAAGGAAGATCTATAATATTTCGGACTAGAGACCGAAAAGGGATATTTAGAAATAATAATAAAGGAGAGGAAAAGCCGTGAGATCTTGTAGACTAGAAAACTGAAATGAAGCATGACACCTTATCTATTTCTGTCAACTTCAATGGTTCCTTTATAGCGAACGCCATCTTCTAATGGCCAAGCAGCGCCTACGTTTATGGACATTGCTAGATGGGATGAACAGAAATCAAACTTTATTACTGATACATGGAGACATGGCCAGAGGCGGACAGGGGAACACATCGCGAGCTCCAATTTAAGCTAAAAAGAAGAAGAAGAAAGCCAACTAGTGTTTGTGATACGATCTTGAGCGCATACATCAACCATTTCCAAAGAGGATATCAAGAATCGCTTTGAAGTGCCCAAATGAAGGAGAGCCAGTAGAATTACAGAACGACTCTAAAGTTGTTAAGATGAAAGAGAAAAGAGATTAGTATAAAAGATCAAGAAACAAACAAAACAAAAAAAACCCTCTAAAACTGGATATTTCAGGTAAACCTTCAATTTACAACCATTCATTTAGTGGCTATTCAAAATTACAGCCGGACTAAAAAACATGACTTATGATCATTTTTCACATTTATGACCTTTGCAGCATCCCCCCATGGTCACATGATCAAAATTCGGGACGCTCGGCAATTTGTTCATATTTATGACAATTGTAGAGTCCCCGGGCTCACATGGTCCCTGTTTGAGACCTTCTGACAATCAAAGTCAATGGGGAAGCCAGATTCACTCGACAACCATGTTACAACTGCAGTTGCCCTTAACTGCCCTGTCAAGAAAGGTCGTAAAATGAGGCAAAGTTCACTTAACGACTATCTTGCTTAGCAATAGAAATTTGAGGCTCAGTTGTGGTCGTAACTCGAGGGCTACCTGTTTGTTTCTTTGCTTCATTGAACGGCAATCGCCCTTAGACTTATATGCCGCTTCACAGTGCTTTTCAGCCCCCTCTAAGCAGTTTACAGAGTCAGCCTCTTGTCCCCAATCATCTGGGTCCTCATTTTGCCGACTTTGGAAGGGTGGAAGGCTAAGTCAACCTTGAGCCGGTCAGGATCGAACTGCCGAACTGCTAGCAGCTGGCAATCAGCAGAATTAGCCTGCAATGTTGAAACGGTATAGGGTTTCCTGCCTGAGCAGAGGGCTGGACTAGAAGACCTCCAAGATCCCTTTATTCTATTCTATTCTATTCTATTCTATTCTATTCTATTCTATTCTACTTTACTCTACTCTACTCTACTCTATACTCTACTCTACTCTACTCTATTCTCAATAAAGATTCCTGTTCTGTTCTGTTCTGTTCTATTCTATTCTATTCTACTTTACTCTACTCTACTCTCAATAAAGATTCCTATTCTATTCTATTCTATTCTATTCTATTCTATTCTATTCTATTCTATTCTATTCTATTCTATCCTATCCTACCCTACCCTATCCTATTCTAACCACTGCACCACCATGCACTCAACATCAATGTATCCATCTATCCATTTATCTATTCATCCATCCATCCATCCATCCAATCTACATATGGCGTATCATACATGGACTAGCAACATAAATTAACATTTCAACTAGATTAACAGGACCCAATAAAGTATAAACGTTAGAAAGATCTGTCTTCAGATATCAACGTAACATCATGGAATGTTTTTAGTTAAAAGGAAATCCCAAAATCTTGTATTTTTCCCATGGGAAAAAAAAAACCCGTGAACAAGCCATTAGGGAGGCAGGAGATGTGGAAATAGACCGACTGCAAGTCGGCAAGGTTGGATGCTCTTCCCTCGCTTATTCAAACGATATGCCGCATACATATTAAGAGAAATGAGAATGGAAAAAATGAGCGCTGCTTTAAAACCGGACGAAGAAACATCAATAACCCGCTGTACACACTCTCCTTGCTGAAAATGCAGAAGATTTGCAAGCTCTAGTAATAAAAAAGTCAAGGAGCACGATATGAGATGAAGATTAAATATAAGGAAGACCAAACTATTAATGACATGTAGGGCAAACCAGCCTTAGGATGAGCAATAAAGATATTAACGCAAGGGGCAAGGGCTGCTTTTTAGGAGAGATTATCAACAGTTAAAGGAACAGGCAGTCAAGAAATAGACTGCTAATTATTAATCAATCAGAACCGAGCTGGAATGGGAACTTGGAGGTCTTCTAGTCCAACCCCCGGCCCAGTTTTTTCTTAAAAACCTCTGGGGTTGGAGTGTGCACAACTTCTGGAGGCAAGCAGTTCCACTGGTTAATTGTCCTCACTGTTAGGAAATTTCTCCTTAATTCCAGGCTGCTTTACACCTTGATGTGTTTCCATCCGTTGCTTCTTGCCTTGCGGACAGTAAAGCAGCCATGAAGGTCCTGAAAAGAGATGTGCCGATACAGGTACGAGTCCTTGACTTATAGCACCTTGTTTACTGACCGTTCAATCTTACAACCGCCTTGAAAAATAAGACCATTTTTCACACTTAACCACCGTTGCAGCATCCCCCTGTGGCCACGTTGATCAAAATTTGGACGCTTGGCAACCGGCGTGTATTTGTGACGGTTGCAGTGTCCGGGATCATAGGATCCTTTTCTATAACCTTCTAGCAAGCAAAGCCAATGGGGGGAAGCCAGACTCACTTAACGACTGAGTTACAAACTTCACTGCAGCGATTCTCTTAACAACTGCGGCAAGAAAGGTCGCAAAATTGTGCAAACTTCCGTTTTTAAAAAAGGTCTCATTTATCGAGAGAAATTTGGGGTTCGATTATGGTCGTAGGTTGAGGGTTACCTGTACCCTCAATCCCACCCCGTTAGATTTGACAGACAAGGCACGCTGCGGATACCATCAGCGAGGGGCCTACTTTTGACGGATCCCAGAAGAGGCGCCTTCTCTACCGTTCCTTAGGGAACATCCTTCTCCCCAAAATCAGGTGAGCTTCATCCCTTATGATGTTGCTGGAAGCCCTCAAGACTTGGGGACGCCATTAATCCTGGGGTCACCAGGGGACCATGGGAGATGATGGGATAGCTGACTAAGAGAGGTGGCCTATCTTATCCTCTCTTCTGATCAAGCAAAATGTATGTAGCTCAGGGTTGAAATGAGGGGTCCTGGGCGCTCTGTGAGTTTTCATTCAGGCGTTTCATGACCCAACTAGGTAACCTCATCAGGGCTAGTAGGAGGTAGGGTTTGCTCTCAATTTATATTCTAGCGCAGGGGTCCCCAACCTTTTTTGTGCCGCGGCCCGGTACCGGCATCACAAAAATCATCCGCGGCCCGGTACCGGCATCAGCACGCATGGCAAGGCGAGCCGAGAGACCGGCCAGCCAGCCGTCCCCCGCTTCTCCCCGCCACCTTCAACTCCTCCTTTGTACCTGTGTTGATGGGCTTCGGGACGGCTTCGGGACGGTCACTCGGCTCGCCTTGCCATGCGTGCTAAAAGAATCCTCGCGCCTTAGTTTTGTTCAAAGCCGCCCCCACCCCCATTAAACTAAGGCGCAAGGATTCCTTCAGCACCCAAACGCCGCTTTCTACCCGGAAAAGCTCATTGGAAGCACTTTTTCATCAAAACAAGATGGCGGCGCCCAGCAAACCGGCGCCCCGGTAGAAATTGTTCCACGGACCGGTACCGGTCCAGGGACCGGTGGTTGGGGACCCCTGTTCTAGCGGCTTGCTCTAAGAGAGCAAACCCCACTCGCTTTTAGCGCTGATGATATTGGAGGCTTTTAAGAAGAGGTTGGACAACCATTTGTCTGAAATAGTATAGGGCCGTGATGACGAACCTATGGCACGCGTGCCACAGGTGGCACGCAGAGCCATTTGTGCGGGCACGCGAACCCCAGGCAAACTTACCTCACTGCGCATGCGTACGCCTCCCAGCTGATTTTCGGGCCTGCCAGAGACTTGAGGGAAGCCTCTGCAGACTTTGCAGGATGAAAAAAATGGGCCCATTTCATCACTTCCTGTATTTCCAGAAATACCGGAAGTGACGAAATGGGCCCATTTTTCAGCCTGCGAAGCCTCTGGCAGGCCAAAAAAGGCCTCAAATGAGCCAAAAATCAGCTGGGAGGCACAGTGCAGGTAAGGGGGCGGTGGGGGAATCGCGCACGCATGCGCAGGGGATGGGGAGGCCACACATTGCCTTCTGGGTGCTGGCACGCAAGCGCACACATAATTTTTGGCACAGGAATCCAAAAAGGTTAGCCACCACTGGTATAGGGTTTCCTGCTTGCACACGGGGTTGGACTAGAAGACCTCCAAGGTCCCTTCCCACTCTGTTATTCAGTTATATGACCCAGTTGGGCAACGAAATATCTGCAAGAAAACAACCAAGCTCAAAAAGCATCAAGGACTCCTCCTATCCTCTCTTCGTTTGGTGGTAATCGTATTTGTTTTTTTGTAATATTTAATTCAGCGCAGATTTTTATGTTTTACACCAGCGGTTTTTATATCTGAGATTTCTACGCAATCGTTCTGAGCTGCCTAGAGTTGCTTTGGGCGAGATGGGCAGTTGTACAAATTCAATGAATAAATAAAACAAATAAAAGTCAGAACCGTACGGGCGATGGGGTTTTTTTTGTCCCTGGGACTTTCTAGGGGAGTGGAAGTTGGCCTTTGAAGAAGCAGGATAGAAAAGGCACTCGGTTTCTGAAGGCGACTCTTGAGCATAGCACAGAGAGCCTAGGAAACAAACAAATGGATCATCAAAGAGTTCTGATGTGAGACACAAATTACCATGTTCAAATTACCATATTTGGCATACATTATTATGCAAAGACTTAGCTCTCCGGAGAAGAATATAATGCTAGGAAAAAGGAAAGGGAAAATAAGAAGATGATTGACTGACTAGAAAGGGAGATGAATCTAATTACAGGTAGACCTAAAGTTACAACGGCACGGAAAAAAAGAGGAAGAGGAGGTGGGGAGGAAGAACAGCTGGGGCCTGTTCCAGACATGTGTATGCACAGAGCTGTTGGGAGAGAGGAACAACGGAGGTCAAGGAGTCGACTCAGGAAGCAAAGCACACATGGATACCGAATGGCCCCTCCCTGGCTGGGGGAATAAATATAAGGAAAGGGGAGTGGTGGTTGTAGGAGACAACTGTTTCGATTTCTGGAGAGTTTGTGTTTCGTGCCTCGGAGAACTTAATTTGCAGCTTTACCTTTGGGGGCTCATGGCCTGGCAATTATCTCAAGGAACTGATAAGGTCTGTTACTGCATTTAACTCTTGGAAGGACTCTCGCCTGGACTTTTTGGTGGGTGAATGCCATTAATTCACAGGGGATAAATAAAGAGGGGTTTTTTTCGGGACAAGGAGTCTATTTCTTGTCCTGCTAAGGCTGGGTCAGAACAGCAATGGAAATGTTGGGGTCATAACTCGAACCTGTATCTACACCGTAACCGCCCCACTGCGGAGAACAATCCACATTTCAAAGAAAGCGTGGATTGTGCCACCCCAATTATCTGTGCAAAAATGGTTATATCAGAAGACCAGAATTTAGAAGCAAAAACCTACATTCTGCAGAGAACAGGTGATTCCAAAGAGCTACCAACTAATTAACCTTAAGAAGATAAAAGTCTCAAATGTAGGAATAAGTAAGTCATCCTTCTCAGGTTTTTTTTTTCCCCTTCATCGGTACAATCGTTTGAGCATTGCAACAAGAGCGTAACAAGTAGTCCTCAAGTTACAACCGTTCATCCAGTGACCGGTCGAAGTTACAACAGCACTGAAAAAAGTGACTTAGGGGACTGTTTTTCGCACTTACAACCGTCGCAGCATCCCCCGTGGTCACATGATCAAAATTCAGACACTTGCAACCAAACTCACATTTATGACAGCTGCAGTGTCCCCAGATCACGTGATCCCCTTTTGCGACCTTCTGACAAGCAAAAGTCCCTGGAGAAGCCAGATTCCCTTAACAACCCAGTCACTCACTTAACAGCCGCAGTGATTCGCTTAGCAACTGTGGCAAAAAAAGGTTGCAAGAATGGGGCAAAATTCACTTAACAAATGTCTCACTTAACAACAGAAATTTGGGGCTCCATTGCGGCTGGGAGGGCCACCTGGAATTCAATTCCCATCCTATTCTTTCATCTCGGAAGTTTACAACGGCCTTAATTCTTTGCTAAGCCCCTGAGCTCGTAACGGCTTGTGCTTTGCGACTTGCTGTCACTCATCCAAGGGCGAATGGAAAGATACACCAAAGAGCAATTGCAATGGGTTTATTTTTCTTTGTTTGTTGGTATATTTGTTTTGGGGTTTGGGGTTGAATATTCTGGCAGCTCCAGTTAAATCCAAACTCCTCCCATTCTTCCACCAGATCCTCATCAAAAGGCCTCATTTTGGTCCAAAGATTTTGGCCTGGTGTTTTTCAGTGATTCACTTAACAAATGGGGCAGGAAAGGTTGTAAAATGAGGCAAAACTCACTGTCTTGCTTAGTAGGTTTGGGCTCAGCTGTGGCTGTAAATCAAGGACTATATAAATTATTCTGTTATTCTTAGTTTTGCCAGCTTAAAAAGCATGTAAGACCTGAGTCAGGATTGGATCAGGCATTCACAGAGCCCAGTATCTCATCCCAACTGGCTTCAAATGGGGAGCCCATTTGCAGAACAAACAATCAGAGTTTCCATTTAAGGCTGCTCATCAGAAACAGGTACTTAAAAAGCACTTTGCTTCTGGAAGTTGAAGGTTATATAAAGGCATCGTACATCAACTTCACAAGCACACTTTTTTTCCCTCCGCAATCCATCTCGAGCTTTTCTAAAAATCATGCAAGCTGAGAGGCAATATCAATATATTAAAAAGCATCAAATTTGCAGAGAACAGCACGTAAAAAGTGGAAAAATGGAGTTTTGCTGAATTTGCAGGAGGGGTGTTTTTTTTTTTTTTTTTGGGGTGGGGTGGGGGGGAGGAAGAGGAGGGGAAGCCATCCTTCACCCAAATGCTCTGTTGCAGGTTGCAGAAAGTGGCAGTGCTCTTTCTCCAGACTAAAAGTTTATGAACAGGAGCGGGAGGGAAATTTCTCCTGAATCTCATCTTCTTGAGAGTGGTATAGATGGAATTGGCGCTCAGAATAGGCGACACTTCCACCAAGCACTTCCACAGGGCAAGCCGCTTTTTTTTTTTTATAAACGGAGAGCAAATCTCACTCCCTTTTAACGCTGATGATGTTACTTAGTTGGGTCATGAAATGTCTGCAAAAAACAAACTCACAGGCTCACAGATCACGAAGAACCACACAGTTCTCCTCTTCCTCCTCCTGTGGAAACAGCATTGGATAGAAAATTGCCCACACACACACACACACACACAGACACACAATGTCAAAGCTTGTCTTGCTTCTTGGAAAAAACACCTAGATTTGACCAGCCCCATGTGATATGGACAACAATGAACCAAACTGTCATTGACCATGGTATAGGTGCAGATACCCCCTACAAGTGGGGCAAAATACCACCACCAAAATGTAATTGTGGGGCCAAAAAAACCCACCTATCCAAGATAAAGCCTACGGTGGCGACTTTGCCGATTGCCTGGCTGTGACAAATGAAGCAAAAATTATAGCTGGAACCTAGACGTACGTTTATCATATTTTAGATTGTATAGTTCATATTTTGTGTTTTTATCTCCTGTGTTTTTATCAAAATGTGATGTGAATGTGCCATGCAATAAATAAAACTCCTCCTCTTTCCATCTTCCTCCGTTCCTTTTTCTTTTTCCTCTCCTCCTCCTCCTCCCTTAACAATCCTGTCCCCTTCTACCATTAAAAATGTTACCTAGTCTAGTTTGGTGATGAAACATCTGCAAGAAAACCACCAAACCGAGAGCAAATATGGACTCCGCAATCCTTCAAATGTTTATCAGGTTTTTCCATACATTTTATCATTCCAGATATTCCTCATCTATATGACCTTTCAGACAGAACATTACTTCATGCAATGTGTAGAATTTACAGGCAATCGAGCCCAAAATTTCTGTTGCTAAATGAGACATTTGTTAAGCAAATTTTGCCCCACTTAACGACTTTTCTGACCACAGTTGTTAAGCAAATCACCTCTGCAGTTGCTAAATTAGTTACACGGTTGCTAAGTGAATCTGGCTTCCAGAAAATGGACTTGATTTGTCAGACGGTCACAAAGGGGATTGTGTGACCCCTGGGACACTGCAACCGTCATAAATGTGAGTCAGTTGCCCAGCGTCTGGATTTTGATCACGTGACCTCGGGGTGGCTGCAACGGTCATAAGGGTGAAAAACGGTCCTAAGTCACTTTTTTCAGTGTCGTCGTAACTTTGGACAATCGCTAAGTGAACTGTTGTAATTTGAGGGCTACCTGAGTCCTGAGATTCGTACCCACCAGATAGATGGTGTGTTCAAAGGAGTCCGGAAAGTTGAAAGTGCATCAACTTTACAAAAGTTTTTTTCATTACGGCCTAAGACACAAATATTTTTTTAATCTTAATTTCACCGCAGAATCAAATCACTGAGGGACAACTGCTGTATTAAAAGCTGAGCAGAGGTTGAAATAAACAAGTCTGCTGCTCAATATCTTTTTCATTATTATTTTTTAGGGTATACACGCTCCCGGCTTTAAAGCAACAAGGATCCGCTTTAAATTTCTACCCCAGTGCTTTGCTATGAAACTATGTGATCGGGCTTAGTTTTGGGGGAGGAAAATAAGGGAAATTTCTGCCTCTGCCTACCAGCATCCATCGGTATTCATCTGGCTAGTGTGTGAGAGAGTTGAGGACTGTTTGGAAACTGAAGCAGTATTTGCTGTGTGAGCAAGGAGACAGCAAGGAGCCTGGGCGTGGCTTAGCTCAACTGTTCTGTACTAAAGCTGCTTGGTCCTGTGAAAGTAAAACTGAAACTCCTCTCCTCTGCTTGTGTTTTGCATTTGAGAGCAGATTTCTTTTCAGGTGGGGAGGGGGAGTAGAACTCCTTAGCATCAGAGCGTGTTAATAATAATAATAATAATATAGGAAATGCTCTAAATGCTCTGATGGTCATTTGGAAAAATCCTTTCTTAGTGAGCTCCTAGAAGCCAAGAGGAACATATGTGCCAAATTTCAAGTTTGTAGGCTTTACGGTTCTGCAGATTTTGTGATGATACATAAGCAGTATTTTGCTTTATATATATAGATTTCTTTATTTATCGTTAACTTTGGACAATGAAATTAATAGGTCAGCTTTCATTTTCGGTCAATTTCGCTCTCCAAGCTTCATAGGGTAAGCTCTTCAGCCTGGCTATGCCCTGACAGCAGACACCGCGGGAACAAACATTCAGCGAAGAACTTATTTCCATCAAAAAAAAATAAATGGTATTCTAAATGTCAGAAGTTATGAGATCAGTTTTCATTAACAGTTGTGTCGTGTAATATTTTGAGTTACATTTTCAGCGTAGGGGTGCAGCTAAGGATTAAGTTAGGTTAAACCAAGGAGAAGGAAAAAAAAAAAACATTCAAAGTGAAAGACTTCACCGATTCAACCTGAGCTCAAAATAACTTCATATAACCAAAGGCTAATAATCAAGGAGTCATCTTCCAAAATTTCCACCAGCTAATTTCATCTGTTGCCAAAATCAAAAGAAATGAAAAAGCGTGACAGCTTTACGTCTTGGATTTGACCATGACAAAGTTTAAACCTTCACAAGGATGTCTAGCTGAGATCCAGGCTATGGTTGTCCCAAAAGTACTTTTTCCAAAAGGCAACTGGATTTTCTTGGGGGTTTTTTTTGCCATTGAAAACATTTCACTTCTCATCCAAGAAGCTCCTTCAGTTCTAACTTCAGTTAAAATGGATGAGAAGTAAAAAAAAAAAAAAAACAATCAAGGAGAATTTTTATCTGGAATCTTACTCAGCAAGTAGGCACTTTAAATTGCTTCACCTTGTTCCTTGGATTTAAAATAAGGCAACTCCTTACACAGTCCTTTTTAAGGAAAAAGAGACATAATGCAAAAATATAATATACTTTTTATGTCCAAATGTATGTGCGTAACTATACACACACATACACATACACACAAACACCCCAAAAATACACTAAGGCAGAAGCTTGTCCAGCCCAAGGATAAAACACCCAGAAACAAAACTGAGCAATGTAATATATGCAGTGCAATGCAGTGAGACACGTACGGATCTGTACATTGGAGAAACTAAACAACCACTTCACGAATACAAGGCACAACATAGCCGAACAAACCCATCAGGACTAGATCCAGGAGACCATCTGAATTTGAAAGACAAAGGCCACTCTTTTGAAGACAGCAAATTCCAAATTTTGGATAGAGAAGGCCACTGGTTTGAAAGAGGGGTGGGGGTCAAAGAGGCCACCTGTGTTAATATCCCTCTCTCAACAGAGGAGAGTGGAAATGACATTATCTATCTCTAGTCTACAACGCCTTTCAGCAGTTCCAAGAAGCTCCTGCACCCATTTGCACTGTTCAAGTGACTCTGAGGGCACAAATAAACCTCCAAGTGGCCTGAGCAACTCTCAGAAGCAGTACTAACGAACAGATAACTGCAAGGAATATAAATCCTTCCATCGTCCACCATTCCATCAGAACTGAAGAAGCTTCTTGGGTGACAAGTGAAACATCTTCAAGGAAAAACCAAGAAAGTCCAGTTGCCTCTTGAAAAAGCACCACCTTTGGGACAACCAGGACCTAGATGACTGAGAATTTCCATGAACACATCTACATAAAATATGTATAAATGCAGCTGATTCTCAGACTATTCTTTTGGATAACACAATTCATCTTGAAGAGCAGAAAACAAAACATTTAAACTCTCCTTCTCATTTAGTAAGAAAATATGGACATCTGAATTATTCTGGGGAAGATTTTTTTCCCAGGAAAGATTAATAATTTTTATGACGCTCATAAATTATTCTCAATACAAGTCAAATCACCCAGTGGGGACAGAAGTTTGTATCGGTATTCCAATGACTCTTATTTATATCATATTATAACACATGTAGGCACTGTATATTGATTTTACTTACAGCAGAATATCAGATACTGTTTCTTTCTTCTCCTCTTTGGGAAATCTTTATTAAATTTAAATTATTATAATCAGAATTTCTGATATATTTAACCAAGCCTGGAGTTCTAGCTTTGATAGATTTATTTTAAAAATCTTGTTTCCTGCCTCTTACCTTGGAAGGAGATGGATATATTCATTAAGATACCTGAATTTAGCATTTCTGCTTTACTGGGTTCCCAAATTTAAACACAACTGAACTTCACAAGCACAAATTAAATTATTCTAACCCGTCTACTTTCATAAGTAAGAATCTCTGTGCAAACCCTGCCTGTCAGCATGAATTTAGCCCGGCAAAAACCTGCGATCACAAGTGCCATACCATCCACCAACGTTTTTTAAAAACAATGTTAACACAACAGATACACAGTGCAGATGGAATGTCATAATACATCCCCAGTAGGCAGGAACAGCAAATTAAGCAATGCTAAACAACAAATGTGGGGAAAGGTTGCTATCAGAAAAAAGCAATGTGGGAAAGTTGCAGCCTACTCACAAAACGTAGCCAGCATAGATAAAACCAGTGAAATGCTGCTAGTTTTCCTCTAAAGTCCCAAAAGTAACAACAGGCAGAAAGTCATCACAGCACATATAGTCATCTTCAAATGGAACCATAGTTGAGCTTCTATCAAAAAGCCGTGTATCTGAAGGTCCATCCTGCTTACAGTCAGCCTTGCAAATCAGAATTCCTTCTGGTCACTAGACAGCTACAGAAATTTTTTCTAATGTGGGTAGTCCTTGATTTCCAACTGTTCACTTAACGTCTCCATTTTTTTTTAAAATTAATTTAAAGCAGGGGCTTCAAACTTGGCAACCTTGAGACTTACGGACTTCAACCGGCAGAAATTCTGAGAGGAATTCTAGGCATTCAAGTCCACAAGTCTTGAAAGTTGCCAGGTTTGGAGAGCCCAGGGTGACTTTTGAAGATGATCAGAAACGTCAGAATCACATTGAATTAATTTTGTGGGAGTTGTATTTGTTACCAATAGGCATCTGAGTAGAATTCGATCCACTGTTTCGAACCTATATGGCTCAGGAAGTTGGGAAGTTTTGTTTCCTGTGGTGCTGCTGTTTTCTCTGATCATAATCTATTTATCCTTTAGAAGTGCTTGGATAATGTGCTTAAGATTCCCCTTAATGAGAGGAATGTGGATTCAGAAAAGGCCTCATTTTACATCCAGCCTGACCTATAGAATATTCTCCCTACCCACCTCATATCCTGAAGAGAAATGCTGTAGTGGGGCCTTCCTGCAACTGGGCAGGTTGGGCTGTTGTAATTTCTAAGTTCCTCTCCAGCCACAACACTGCACGATTTCATGCTATCCGAAGGAATTCTTACTGCTATATCAAATGCACTGTAGCCGATCTCAGATTCAGATTTGGGGATTCCATTTTCAATTTCCTCCAAAGGTCTCATTTTAGCGCTGCAGATTTTGAGGCTCCTTAGCTCTGCTTCACATAACCGATCTGATCCAAAATGGCCAAGGTGACTTTCTCCTCCTTGGCACAAATCAGTAACATCTTTCTGGGACAGAATCTTACAGTTTCCCCGAAAATATGACCTGCCCTGAAAATAAGTCCTAGCTTGAGTTTTACACGTGGGCCCAATATAAGCCCTACCCCCCAAATAAGCCCTAATTAAGATCCTGTCCACTCCAGAGTGCATGGGTAAAAATTAAGCTAAGGTGGGGATTGGGGGTGGTGGTGGAACTGCCCTACTAACTTTGGACAGGTGTAGCCAGGCCTCGCACACCCCGACACCTGCCTTGCCAGCCAATTCTTCTGCAGCCAGCAAGGCTGGCAAGGCTTTCCTGAAGGCCTCTGGAGCTGATAAGAAAGCTCTGGATCGATCCAGAGCTCTGTTATCAGCTGCACAGGCCTTCAGGAAAGCCTTGCCGGCCACGGAAGAAGTTCCTGAAGGCCACTGACAGAGAAAAGGAGGCCGGCAGTGATATGTGCAAGTGAGGTTAGTCAGTGGATGACATCCCCCCAAAATAAGACCTGGTGCCTTTTTTGGTGGCAAAATAAATAAATAAATAAGACAAGGTCTTATTTTCGGGGAAACTCGGGAGTTTATTTTTAATTAACATATAGATTAAGCCATCCTGCGGATATTCCTCAGCTTATGATCACTGATTTAGCAACCGTTTGAAGTTACAATGGCACTGAAAAAAGTAACCCCACCATCACGCGATCAAAATTCAGGTACTTGGCAACCCAAAAGCATGAATGACGGTTGTAAAATCCAGGATCACCATTCATGACTTTCCCCACCTGGCTTCTGACAAGTCAAGTCAAGGGAAAACGCCGAGTTCACTTAATGACTGTATGATTTGATTCGCTTAACAACTGCAGTGATTTGCTTAACAACTTTAGTGCAAAAGGTCTTAAAATTTGGCGCAACACACTTAACACCGTGCCTGTTCCCAACTTTAGTTATAATTCAAGGTCCCACTCGTACAGTCCCACTGTGATAAAGTCTTCAGAAAATGTTTCATTCTTCTTTGGCAAAATAAAGCAGAACAGATTTTCCTGGCACTCGTCCTTCATGACAGAAGACATTGTGTTCTATTCGCCACTGGCTTCCTTCCCCAACTATTAGAAAATAGCTGACAAGAGGATGCATGACACTGCAAACTCAGGAGCGTCACACCTCAAGTACATTAATAAAAGAAAAAAAGTTGAGATCCAACCATTTAATCCTGACTTTAATCAGCACAGAGCACAAATAGCAAATGACACTCCCTGGAAAGGCGTCAATGCATCTCAACCAGCCCCAAAGTAGAAAAACTGCTTGTCAGAGGCAAATACACAACAATTATATATTCATCTCTTAAGATCTATATTCCACCTTTCCTCTGCAATTTCAGGTTGGAGTTTGCAAGTCCAGTGTTTCTCCGAAAATAAGACTCTGTCTTGTATTTTTTTTTTTTTTTTTTGGCCACCAAAAAAGGCACCGGGTCTTATTTTCGGGGGATGTCATCCATTGACTAAACTCACTGGCGTGCATCGTCCCCAGCCTCCTTTTCGCTGTCAGAGGCCTTCAGGAATTTTGTATTCAGCAGCTGCCAAGGCTTTTCTAAAGGTCTCTGCAGCCGATAACGGAGCTCCAATCCGGAGCTTTGTTATCAGCTACAAAGGCCTTCAGGCAGGTGTTGGGGTGTCTAAGTAATAGGCCAGGTCTTACCCCACCCCCCAATCCCAGCTTAATTTTTACCTGTGCACTCTGGAGTGGGCGGGATCTTCCTTTGGGCTTATTTGGGGGATAGGGCTTATATTGGCCACATGTGTTTTTCAAGCTAGGACTTACTTTCAGGGTAGGTCCTATTCGCCGGGAAACAGGGTACTCCCTCTTCCAATTTCCAAGCAACGAACTTGGAACACAGGTTGAGCTGAAAGTCCCAAAGGTACTTTTTCAAAAGGAAACTGGCCTTTGTTTTTCCTTGCTTCTCATCCGAGAAGCTTCTTCAGTTCTGCAACAGTTGTAAGTGTGAGGACCGATTGTGGGTCACCTTTTTCAGTGCCGTTGTAACTTCGAATGGTCACTAAACAGAGGGCTGTAGGTCAAAGATTACCTGTAAACATTCATAGCTCCTTTCTCGTTTGTATGAGTAGTCCTTGACTTGCAACAGCTCACTGACCGTTATAACAGCACTGAAGTTACAATGGCACTGAAAAAAATTACCTATGACCCTTTTTCATGCTTAGGACTGTTGCAATTTCTCCATGATCATCTGACAAAAAAAATCAGACGCTTAGCAACTGATTCATATTTCCAAATTTTGAAGTGTCCCAGGGTTATGTGGTTGATCCCCTTTTACGACCTTCTAGTCATAAGCGAAGTCAATGGGAAAGCCAGATTCACTCGGCAAACCTCTTACTAACTGAACATCTGCACTGATTCACTTAACAACTGAGGCAAGCAAGCTGGCAAAATGGGACAAGACTCACTTAACTAACGTTTCACGTAGCAACAGACATTTTGGGCCCAATTGTGGTCATAAGCCGAGGACGACCTGTAATTGAGCCAAATTCTCTTGTGAGCTTCCTTGATTAAAGATGGTCTCCTTCGTCCTACTAGAACTCCTCACTAAAGATAGTCTTTCAGTTACACTCATTCATTTAGTGACCAAAGTTACAATCCCGAAAAAAGTGACTCAGACTGGTTTTCACACTAATGACCACTGCAGCATCCCCATTATCATATGATCATAACTCGAGTGCTAGACATCTATTTATGACAGTTGAACTGTCCCAGAATCATCTGATCATCATTTTTAATTTTATAGATGGCTTCCAACAAGCAAAATCAATGGGCAAGCCAGATTAACTGAACAACTGCAGTGATTCCCTCAACAACTGTGTCAAGAAAGATCGTAAAATGGGGCAAAACTCACTTAACAGCTGTCTCACTTAGCAACCGAAATGTTGGGACTCAATTGTGATTGTAAATCCAGGACGATCTGTAATTGTAAATGGAGAGGCTGGCAGCTACAGAAAAGGACAGCCTTCAGATATCTTGGTGCCAAACTAACAATGCAGGAGTCCTCATTTTATGACTACAATTGAGCTCAAAATTTTTGTTACTAAGTGAGACATTTGCTAAGTGAGCTTTGTCCTGTTTTTACCCCTTTTCTTGCCACAGTTGTTAAATGGGTCGCTGCAGTTGCTCTGCTAGTAACACGGTCGTTAAATGAATCTGGTTTCCCCATTGATTTTGCTTTCCAGAAGGTTATAAAAGGGAGATCCTGGAACCGTCATAAATATGAACCAGTTGCCAAGCCTCTGAAGTTTGATCACCTGACCATGGAGATGCTGCAACGGTCATAAGTGTGAAAAACGGTCATAAATCACCTTTTCTCAGCACAGTTGTAATTTTGAATGGTCACAAAACAAACAGTTGTAAATCGAGGACGACCTGTATACAGCTTAATGTACTTAGCAGGATTGTGGCTGTGGAGAAAAGTGGAGAAACTTAATTAATGTCTTTGTCCAAAGTTAACCAAAAGAGGCGTGCTAGGTGGGGATGATAGGAAGTGTAGTCCGAGAACCCTAATGGGCAGAATCAAATGGCCAAGCAGCTCCAAAGAGGTTAAACCACAAATCATCCCCACTCACCCCAAAATACAGAGACTCTGCCTGATGTTTTCCAGATCTGGGAAGGCTGAGAACCATGGGGTCGGTAGTCCAACACTCTAGAAAAGGGCCACATTAAAGAAAACTAGACCTGACCACCCCAGAGATGCCAAATATTTTGGGGACACCATCTGAGAGGAGCTTCCCTGTGAATTATTCCCATCTGGCCCTGACCCAGAGTCTGTCATTCCCACAACACGCTTATCCCGGGTCTTTAACTAACCCACTTCCCAGGGTTGCCACAGTATTAGGGTTCACCCTGAGCTAACCATAGAACCCTAGCTTAGAGTTCACCCTAAGCTAACCATATCCCGAAACGATCTATTACGAGTCACGAGACGAAGGCAGGCCCTGACTCGGGTCGTGTGAACGCTTCCCCGCCTCCCAAAGCAGCGAGTTCCCCCCTCGTTCTGCCTTGCTTGAGGATGTGACGCCTTCGCCAGGACCCTCAAGCCCGCCTGGGAGGAAAGGCGGCCACCGCTACCTGATGACAGAGATGAGCAGGCCGGAGGGATCCTTGCTTTTGCTCATAGCGCTTCTGTATCTTCCCGTCGCTTCAGACGCCGCCATCTTGGCCAGGCCTACGCGCTAAGGTCGGCCATGCCCTCCTTAGCGTTTCCTGACCAATCCACGCGTCCGCCCGCGGCCCGCCGCCCTATCACCGCCGCGAGGAGGTGGGACGTAGCAATTCGCCTGACACCGCCTTCCCGCTGTGCACTCTGGGGCTTGTGGTTTCCTTCGGGAATACAGTTAAAGACTACCTGCAGCGCCAGAAGGATGCTAGAACCGCCCAGGTGGCAACGAAACGAGTTTACCTGGTCCTTGCAAACCTGAATATGGGATTAATGGGCCATTGCCTCCACCCCTGTTGCTGTAGCAGACAGCTTCCAAGAGAATGACATAGTTGGTTTCAGCTGTCACTATTGTCAGACTTGATGGTTATTGTTGCAAAATGAATGATGGGGGTTTTTTTCTATGAAAAAAAATAGAAAAATGGATTTGGGAATATGTACAAAAGTGCTTCATGATTCTAAAAGGAAAAGTCTGTATCATATCCCCTTCAAAATAATAGGACAACCTCTTCATTTCTGATAAAAGTGATTTGGGCTTAATTATAATGATCATAATGCAGTATCTGTTTGCATTGTGCTTGGTGGAGTATCAAAAGGAGCTTGCAAGATAAAATGTGAGGTGGATGAATAGAGGAAAGACAGAAAGGGAGAAAGGGAAAGTATATCTTTCATTATTTAGAATAACAATGATTTTTTTTTTATTCTATTTGGGACTAAAAGAGTGTGGGGCTTAATGGGAAACGTGAATTTTGAGATTTCCTTTTGTTGGAAAGTTATTGTGGGGAATTTGCAGTTTAGTCTGCACCCAGCTTACAAGGAAGGGAGGGAAGAAAGGAGGGAAGGAAAGGAAGGATGGAAAGAAGGGAGAAAGGAGAAAAAGGGAAGAAGGAAAGTTTAATTTGCACCCAGCTTACAAGGAAGGAAGGAAGGAAGGAAGGAAGGAAGGAAGGAAGGAAGGAAGGAAGGAAGGAAGGAAGGAAGGAAGAGAGGGGAGGGAGGAAGGGAGGGGAGGGAGGAAGGGAGGGAGGGGAAGGGAAGAAGGAAGGAAGGAATAATTCCTATGGCAATCTGATCACCAAAGAAAAAGAAAACTTGCTTGGTTTGAACAATGTTCTTAACGTGATCCCGGGTTCAGGTCCTTTTCTGGATTTGCATAATGCACTGAATCATAAACTAACCAAATGGGCTGGATGTGCATCACACGCCGAGCAGCAAACCAACCAAGGTTAAAATGAAATAACAAATGAGACCCCTACAGGCCTTTTAACTGTAAAGTGTCGTAGGCAAGCTCACCTCTTCTGTACCTAGCAAGATCTACACACATACATACACCTTCCAATTGCTGAAAAGTGGACAAGCATTTCCTAAACCCCAAGTCTGGGACGGCATCATAATGTTGTTCGGGCGATGCGCCCGTCCTTTTTCCTTTGTCTTAGCTCCTGTGCCCCAGGCACAAACCATTCGCTGAATCAGGTTTCTGCAGAGATGCCCCCTGATTGCATTCAGAATCGGTGGCTCGCAGGCGCTCCATTTCTTTTTCCATAAATGCATCCCCATCAGCACTTTCCCAAAGGCTTCTAAGCATCTTCGGCGTACAATGTCTGCAGTCAATTGCCAAAGACACGATTAAACAACGCAAGGAAAACGTTCATAACCACGGGCTGTGCGCTTATTGCTTTTTCTCTTTGAAAATAAAAGTCAATATAGGTTTTATTACATTCTTTCCAGTCCCTAACCCCCCTCCTCCCCTCGCTCAGGTCGTTCACCCTTCTGCGGTGGCTATTGATTATTTGCTCTTTATCTTTTTGGATTCAGGATCTGTTATGAACCCTACTTATCTCATCGTAGACGCTTTGAATGCTGCTGGGTTCCTGCTGTTCCATGGAAACGGACATACAATGTAAACAGTGGTGTCCCCCAAGGCAGCGTTCTGGGACCAACTCTCTTCATACTCTACATAAATGACCTCTGTGATCATATTAAGAGCAACTGCGTTCTTTTCGCTGATGATGTAAAGCTATTCAACACCACAGACAACACTACTTCCCTCCGAAAAGACCTTGACTATGTATCAGAATGATCAAACAAATGGCAGCTTCAAATCTCAACAAATAAATGCTCTGTCTTACATATTGGCAGAAAAAATCAGAAAATAAAATACAAGCTAAATAGTCAAGACCTTGTTGATGATCCAAACTGTGTCAAGGACCTTGGAGTACTCATCTCTAATGATCTAAGTGCTAGAGCCTACTGCAACTACATAGCCAAAAAGGCATTAAGAGTTGTTAATCTAATCCTACGTAGCTTCTTCTCTGGTAATATCACGCTACTAACTAGAGCATACAAAACTTTTGCTAGACCTATACTTGAATACAGTTCATCAGTCTGGAACCCATATCATGTATCTGATATTAACACAATTGAAAAAGTCCAGAAATATTTCACAAGAAGAGTTCTCCACTCCTCTACTCATTGCAGAATACCTTATGCCACCAGACTTGAAATTCTAGACCTAGAAAACCTAGAACTATGCCGCCTTCGGTCCGATCTAAATATAGTATATAAAATCATACATTGCAATGTCCTACCTGTCAATGAATACTTCAGCTTCAATCATAATGCAAGAGCACACAATAGATACAAACTCAAGGTTAACCCAACCAAACTTGACTGCAGAAAATATGACTTCAGCAACAGAATGTTCAATGTTTGGAATACTCTACCTGACTCTGTGGTTTCTTCCCCAAACCCCCAAAAACTTTAACCTTAGGCTGTCTACTATTGACCTCATCCCCTTCTTAAGAGGCCTGTAGCGGGCATGCATAAGCGCACCAACGTGCCTACCGTCCCTGTCCTATTGTTTCTTTTTATTTTTTCTTATAAGTATCTATCTCATGTATTCAAAACTATGTTTATTCTTATACCTGTATCTTGTAAGCGATTGACATATCAAATAAATACTAAATAAATTTTCCCACATACTGTTCTGACCAAGGCTTATTGAGACACTAACAAACACAAATTAGTCCCCAAACCTTTTTTGTTTATTTCAATGGCTGTGAATTTTAGTCATTCACAGCCCATAATGAGTCTCAAACAGTTTGTAAATAGTCCCATGGAAGTCTGTCAAAATCCTTCAGGATAAGTCTGATAAGTATGCACCTTTATCTTCCTTGAAATGCTGCCAACGACTAAATGTCCAATTAGTTATACGCGGCCAAAACGGAACACAAATTCAACACTGAGCTTCAGGTTACAAACTGACCAGTACCAACAAAGTTGCTTCCTGCAAAGGTTCCTGTCCCTTTGCTCCTCCTTTATGTCTTATGGGAGGGCCAATCACCTTCAAGCCTTCCTCCCGAGTCGCCCCTTTTGTCTTAATTGTTCTTGCCTTCTGGCAGCTCTGCGCATGCCCGCACTTGGAACAGGCTCCCCCTGTTCCTCTGCCTTGCTGCTGTTAGATTCTAGAGGCTCCGGAGTCAGCACATAACTCCCAGATGGCTCTGGCCCCATCTCTGTGTCGGATGCAGGACCCTCATTTGAGTCCTCTCCAGTCTCCAGGACTGGCCCATGTTCCCTCCCCACCGTCCGACTCTGCTGCCGTCTCTGCAGGCTGCCGGTGGACTACAACACATCCTGGATATAATCTATTTCAACTTTCCGCCCTCTGGATGCTGTCATAGGGCATTGCATTCCAAAACTATTAGATACAGGCAGTCCTCCTCCCTTATTTTCTTCCCCCAAAACTACCCCTGACCACATAGTTTCGTAGCAAAGCATGAGTATTGAGTTGGTCAAGGGTATTTATAATTCAGAGTAGGAGATAAAAGCTTAATAATGTCGAGAGGGGGAGATTCCTGAAGAATTCAGCAGTTCATCCTTAAATTACAGCCAGGCAGGTGCTAAATTAAATTAGAAAAGCCTTTCAATTAAGAACAGTTTGACAGAAGAACCAACGACCCTAAGAGGAGAAGGTGGCCTTTTATTTGAAGAATTCAAGCAGAGTGCCCGACAACCTATAAAAGATGCCTTAATTTGGATTCCTGCGTTGAGCTAAGATTCTATAATGCTATGACTTACGGTTGGGTGACATCTTTTTTTTTTAATTCCATTAACCCGATAATTCCTAACGTCTCAATCTCCACCAACATCTCGTTTGAGCTGCTGTGTGGACTGCGAGCGTTTACGATTTTTCTAGGGTGCCTTTCTGATTTCAAATGAGGCTCTGAGAATTTGGATTGTTTAATAAAAAAATTTTATTTTATTTTTATTACAAATATATCTTCTTCCACTTGACAACGTGTCGTCTGGATACAAATATTTTGTGCAATACAATTGGTAATTGCAATCATATTCATTACATTGGTATTATTCTCTAATCTTGTCTTAATATTTTATTTATTTTATTTATTTATTTATTTTTAATTTGTCAATCGCTTACAAGATAATAGGTATAAGTATAAACATGAGTAAGAATATAGGAAATAGGTACGAATAAATGGGGACAATAGGACAGGGACGGTAGGCACGATGGTGCGCTTATACACGCCCCTTACAGACCTCTTAGGAATGCGTATTCTCTCCCTTCCTTTATCTCCTCCCTCCCTTCTTTTCTCTCCCTTCCTTCCTTCCTTCCTTCCTTCCTTCCTTCCTTCCTTCCTTCCTTCCTTCCCCTTCCCTGTTCTCCTTCCTTCTTTTCTTCCTTCTTTTATTTTTTGTTTATTTTATTTATTTGATTTGTCACTCGCTTACAAGATAATAGATGTAAGTATAAACATGAGTAAGAATACAGGAAATACGTACGAATAAATGGGGACAATAGGACAGGGACGGTAGGCACGATGGTGCACTTATGCACACCCCCTTACAGTCTTCTTAGGAATGGGGTGAGGTCAATCGTGGATAGTTTGAGGTGAAAGGAGAGGTGGGGTAAGAGAATGTAACAACAGAGTCAGGTAGTGCATTACAGGCATTGACCGCTCTGTTGCTGAAGTCAATATAC